AGCGTGAGGTTTATAGGTTATAGATTTTAATTGCCCATATATCTGAAATATGTGTCGATCAAGATGGACTTGCTCTAACATTGGATACATAAATCTACCATTGTCTCACGTATCACTGATTAAATTCATAGCAACATCTATATTGTTTCATTTTTACTCGGTCTTTTTTATTATAAAAAATGACAATTTTAAGTTATAAAAATTAGTTGTTTCTGTTTCTGATTAAAGTTTACTATAATACGATAAAGCGTTAACACGCATGTAGCAATGCGAAGAAGTCAATTAACTGTAGATAGGCTGAAATTTGAGTGGATTATGGAAGATTAGCGATGCATTCTTTAAGCAGTCCGTATATTTGATATGGGCAATTGTAGTCGGTTCTTAACCTTTAGGAAAACAGTTTCTGATAACTTTCTTGTAGATGAAATGAGAGTTCTAGAAATCTTTAAATCTATAGTATACTATTGTATCGGCAAGGACAAGTACGGTATATGCATCTTATCCATATCGAAATGATTCCCAAGATTGCATTAATGTCAGAATTAGTTGCAATTTAATCGTATTATTATAATTCTAACTTTCGCATCCATTTATTGATGATTGGGGACAGAGTATTGGTTTACAATTCTACTAAAGTAGCTCATCAACCGCACAAAAATCAGAATAAAGTAAATAATAATTTTAAGACTGTAAGAGAATAGCCATCCAGGAGAATGTGATCAGCCATGCAGTGACTAAAATTTAATGATAAAGAGTGCCAGTAGCAGTGAAACTAATAAACATTCTGATTTAATATATCGTAAACTCAGACGGATGAAGTTTACTCCATAACTGTCGTTCAATTTACGCGAATACTATCACTACTCTAAGCGACTTCATAATGAATTCATTCGATATACAATCTAACTGCAATACATAAGAACTAAAAAGGAAATCGTGATTATTAGATAATTGCATAGTCCATTTCGTTTTTTTAATGGTAGGGGAAACTAAAAAACTAAAAGTGTACAGGCCTTACTGTGACAAGCCTTTACCAAAACTGTCAGTCTCGACTGCAGGAACGTAATTAATTACTTTACTGTGATAGCACCATGAAAATAGCTGCAGATCGGGTGACTGTTGAATAGTTGTATCGTCCATCTTTTGTTTACCCATAAAATAGTGAAAAATTATACTCATACGGCACTATGTCACTACCGAAATGGTCCATATTGATTATAGCAACATAGATTACTTTACTGGCAAAGCATAATTCAATAGCAGTAAAATTATCGACACAATGCTCTTGGGATTTACTTAGAATTTGCTTCTCGGTGAACAGTATTTGCTATTTTCTTTCGAGGATTATTCGTATATGAGTATTATCGAAGGGTTATCGGGCCACTCTTACTTTATCACCCTTAGTCATTGATTGATATTGTTGGGGAAATAACATTAGTAAATTTTTTTTCTATAACGTTAAAAGAGTAAGCAGGAGAAAAGTGACTGGAGTAAGGGAAATAGTTTATTTTCTTGTGCTATCTCCTATAGTGCATCGGGTCCATCCATCGATGGATGCCATTGTTTTATTGATGGAATACTTCAATTTATGATATTTGTCTGCCATGTAATGACACTCAATACCAAAACAATACTTGAGTATTGTGAATTGGTGATGTGCTAGTAGTATTGGAGTACGACGTTATTTGCATTTCACATTTTGGTAAAGAAACGCCGTACACAAGTATCCATTTCCATTGATATATTAAAATTGATGATAGTGCCATTCATTTCATTTAATAATCATAATTTAATTTAGTTGTGTAACCAGCAGTCATCCATCAGTCATGGGCTTTTTACAAAATCTTCGCGGTAAGATCGATTAATCCATGGTACAGGCGACAGACGATTATGAGGTAAAAACCTTTTTTAGACCTCGATGATCGTCCTGTACGCCTACTTTCGTCCATCAACTCGTTCACTAATGTACAGTACTGTGGCTACAGTAGGAGTGTACACTCTCACTGTACACATACAGTACTTTAAATCAGGATTATACTACTGTCGAAGAAAGATTTTTTTCTGTATTGTCTTATTATAGATTACAGTACAGTAACACAACGTGAGCGAACTTTGGCAGGTGACCGTGAAACGCTTGACAGCACCTAGGTGATCCAATCAACACAAGTCTGCCGATCAATGTGTATATGACATAACATTATAAATATCGACGGTTATCGGCTATTCCATCATTTCGATCAAGGTGGAAGTAGTGATCCTCGTCTTTACCTTGACTGCAGATTAATTGGTAATCTAATTAACTCCATCACAATTTTGTTCTCCTATTGCTAGTGTGTAAGTGGGATCAATTCAATGCTTTTGATCATTCATTCAAGAACAGAACTAAGGTAAGACTATAATCAGTTAGGTAAATATCATCTCATCCTGTTGTACATAACTGGATATTATGTGAACAGAAAGAGAAAAAAAGAAATACCACTGTAAAGAAAGGAAAATTCCATGACAATCATTGGAGTACGTTTCTGTGATTGTCAAGAAGAAGAAGAACATTAATTACTTTTCAACCCGTCGTATGCGCATTGACAGATTTTCAACTCGTCTCCTTTTTACTTTTCCTTCACTTCGACAAGCGAATTCTTTGTATGTGCCAACTTACTGTAGTCAAGAAATATACAGGTTATCCATGTAGCCAAATTTGGCGAAATATCCTTCGCCAAGCCTCAATTATACAGTCTCAAAAATGTAAACAAAAGGCTTGCAGACAGTATCGTCAATACTGTAGACTACTAGATGCCACTTTGGACGCGTCCAGATTGGCGATAACATTATGTACCGTTCTAATTAATTATTTGTAGTCCAGAATGTTATCGTGATGGGTGCATTGTTAAGCACAATTAGACGATAAAATGAAATTTTCCCTAATTTTACTGCAGTTTTCGGTTACGTATAATCCCTGCATATGGATAATGTTGGTATAATGTGTTGGATAGGCGAATAATGCATAGTCCTCCATGTTGTAAGCAATTTCGTCTTACTAGCCTATAAGAAAAAAAAAATTAGAACGATCATTGTGTCTGGATTTTGACAAACGTATAAATTGACTGGTAGTAGCGAAAAAATGAAACATTTTTCATTGATGAAATTCATATCAGTAACAACACTTCGTATATCTAGAGTAATTAAGTGAAGATTTGACTGACAAATACTCGTACACCTGCACTACTGCAGGTCTTTCTTATTTCTTAATTATCTTAATTTCAACTATTACTATCGAGTAATTTGAAGATATCGTTTTAATCTGCCAGTTCATTGATATCCTTTGTCCTAATATCGTTATCCTGTTATTTACTAGATCTATAATCGATTAATCATAGCTTTTGTTTTCAAACTTTCCTACTGTTTGTAATGGAATAAAGGAGTACAGTACAGTCTCGATTCCCGAACGACAATATAAATGGATAATTTTAAAAATTGACATTATTAATGCAAACCGTAGTACATGCTATGATGATAAAAGAATAAAAGAAGAGTTGGCTATTATTTTCGCCAATGTAAATGGACATCATTTCTTTGAAGGATATTGAAGGAATTGCAATTGTTATTAATTTATAATTACATTTCTACATGAAAAAAAGAAGCTCGACAATTTAACGATTGGCACTACTATTAGTTAAGGTGTTTATATCATTACGGAGATTAATCTTGAACATTTTTGTATCATTTAGCATAGTAGAAGCAAACAAACAAAATTGTGAAGAATAACAAATCTTCAAAATGATGACTAAAGTATCCAATGGATTATGGACCAATTTTAACCGAAAAAAGGAGGAATCCAGCAAATCGTTTTCACATGAATATGCCTTAGATGAAGAAGATATACAACAAAAGAAGATGACTGATCTCCATCGCCGTCTATGTCATCGTAAAGACCCAGAAAATTTTATTACCTTAAATACGTAAGCATTGCTGGCTCATCTTGAATTCGTAGATTACTTCAAAAGTTAGTTAGTTGCTTTATTTTCCTGATGTAGGTTTTATTACTCTATTATTCCCCTTTTTAATAAACTGTAGACAACTTTCTGTTTCAGTTCTATCCGCTATTGCGGGTAACTGATAATTACGAGATGATGATTAATTGCGACATTCTTCCTTTCATTCTAAGCATCAATAGACGGTCTAAAATATCACATCTGTGTACTGCTATTATGCAACTTTCTCTATGTTAGATTGATAGAGTTCACATTAGTAATCTTTTGCTTTGGAATTAACCCAGTTTAGGATCCTTTTTTGAATACCAAACAGTAACTGTCCCCACCCATAAATCTTTCATACTAGTAATTATTATGAAGTAAAGTGAAATGAAATGGAAGTGTAGAATAATCTCATAATTTTTTCTCCATTGATACTGATTCGGTATCATGAGTAAAAATTCCTGATTATCCTGTGGGAATATGAAGATTTTTTTTCGAATCGAATACATAGCTACTGACCCTAGTGTGTACGCGTAAACAAGAACAATTTAATGTTTTCAAAGTTGCTTAATATCATGCGGTATGCGTCAATATATTTCAGAACTACTTTGATTGTCTTTCAAGATAGAAAATAACGAAGCAAGTATATTCTTTTTTGAAGTTTTACTAAAAAACTACGGAGCTATTATTTACTGTATAAGCTATTACTTTTGATATCGCAAGCTGAGATAAATTAGTATGAATATCTTGAATGCCGGCAATGACAATAGTCACCCAACTATCGTAGTAGCGCATTTCGTATTTTTTTGTTTTGTGTTATTTCCAGGTTTTAATTATTTAATTGACCACAAAATACGCTTAAACAGATACATCTGCTATCTTCCAGAATAATGATAGTAACTTTAAAGTCTACTCGTGTATCTGCTGTTAATAGCAAGGACTTTATGAAAGATATGAATAGTATTGATGTTACTCAGATTACTTACTGTTTTTATTGAAAATATAAATGATGGTATACATTTGTATAGGATTCATCGCTACCTGCAAGCAAATCATTGGAATATTGATGAAGCAGAAGAAATGATTTTAAGGACTTTAAAGTGGCGTATCAAACATCAACCTCAACTGTGGCAATGTAAATGGTGTATTGAAACACCGGGGTATCATGCGTGGGTAAAAATTTAACATTGTAAATATACGTATAATATCACGCAGACAGTTCTTTAATCGTATATACTTCACGAAAGTTAATATGTTATCCACAACAGCTCAGATTTAAGAAATTATGCGCTTCAATGTGGATTAAGTTCGTATAGATACGAGTTCGCTTATACTATAAATACAGTAAAAGTACCACTTAGCTTAGCTAACTTTAGGTAAATCAAGGTACACCAGTAGTTTATTGTATTTACGGTACCTTTTTTTCAAGAGTTGAAATTAGAAACGGTATTAAGTTAACTCACGCAATAATACCATTTACTTTTAATATTCTTTAAATTGTCAACAGCCTTACATCAATTAAATTGTATAGTAAACGCGCCATTGTACTGCAATAAAATAAGGGACGTACGCGTATTCATACAATATAATCTTCCCTACATAATCCTATATAGTATACGAGCATTGTACCAAAATGTCAGCTTGTTCGTAAGCTAACGAGTAATTGCCATCAGAATGATTTACTGTTGTTACTATTTGAAACCACTCACTTGCTATATAACATCTAACCATGAAACTTCATCATATACTGTGGTTGTTAGTTCTACTACTGTGTGTATTCACATCGAAATCTCAAATTATTATACATCTCGCGTTGAATGATTAAAATTATGCATCCTACGTGATGCAAGAATTATATTTTTCGTGAGAAGTTGTGTGCGAAATCCATAGATGCGGAAGTACTGTATAATTATAATTACCGTACGCGTACCGTATATCTTATAATGATTTTAGATAGTATGGTATTGAATCTTTTATACCGCATTATGTAAATAAATCTAATCATTCTTCCAATCAGTTCGTAAAAACAATCAGATTAAGTCTGAAATATAGTTTAATATCACGAAAGTGCACAAATCATAGTTATATTTCGAATGTATTATAGGTAAATTACTCAATATTTTGAAAATTTTAACGCAACTTATTTTACCTGTAATTAATACGTTTTACTTCGCATATTTCATTACTCAATTAATTGAATTATATTCTAGAGGCAGGTAGGTTTCGATAAGACTGGTAGGCCTGTAATTTATTCGTGTTTTGCTCAAGAACAAGCGAAAAGTGATACCATAGAAGATACAATAGTTCATATGGTTTACTTAATTGAAAATGCGATTGCAACCATGCCAGATGACAATTGTACCTGGATCTGGATACTTGACTGCACTGGTATTTAATATTTCTTTTTTAATTTTGAGTAATCTTTTCATTGCCTTCATTAAATTATTTATTTCTGTACATTATTAAGTATTAATAATACCATGTATTTATAGGGATTACAATGTCTTCAACATGCAATAAATTAAACGCTAAGGTTATGAATTTATTATCTAATCATTATCCATGCCGGCTTGGCCAGTTGCTTTGTATCAATTACAATTGGATATTTTCGAGTATTTGGTCAACGGCGAAACTATTTTTAACTCCGCAAACAATCGCTAAAGTTCGCTTGGTGACACCAGCACAATTAAAACCATTATTTACTGATCTATTTCCAATTAACTTGTGCAATTGGCTATTGGATGAAATTGAATTAAATAAGAGTGAACAATTGAGTCAATCTCAAGCGAACTTCTGGGTACAACCTTTCCGGGAAAGTGAACATGATCCGAGAGGTTGTGGAGATTATATTACTCGCTACCTTTTTGCTGCAGATGCTGCGCCAGATTCTACTGTTCAATCAAGCAATGATAGGCGAATTCATCGTCCTCATCCTAATATGTGCCGTCTTTATAACAGTCCGTCGTCTGCGAGTGATGTTAATATTGATCAGATTACTGCACTTATTAATAGAGCTTTAAAAGACATTGCAGGCTGATACAACATCAGAAAGAATAAGATGCTTTCCCTTGATCTAATCCGTAATTAATTAGACCTTAAGGAAAGGCAGTTTGTCAAATTATATCAGTATTATACCCTAAAAGATGTTATCACAGAAGTTAATATACCGTATTAGTTGTAAAAGTATCTAATATATGAAAGGAGTAAATGATTTCGACATCGTAGACAAGTAGTCGCAGTGAATTAATTATTACATAAATAATTATTTAACAAAATTAACATGTATCCTCGACATTGAGCTAACTTCACGTATCAAACGCTATTTCATCAAAGTGCTGTTTCTAACGCATTAGAGTTCTTGACTTAAATGAAACTAATGCTTTAATTAGATAAATATCTACCTGTAACAGAGTATTTTAAAGGCGAGATCGATATTATAAATAGGACGGTATTGATAATATTTTAATTCTAGATAAAGATAGTACCATATGTTCGATATTGCCCCGGTATATTTATACTGATTTACAGATTATTATTAGTGTAGGATATGTCTATTTCAACGCTTTAGAGGTAGTTGTAGTTGACTACATCATATTGATCTCTCTCGTATATGCGGATCACCGTAATGCTGGGCTAGCTGTGTAGAACAAATACATGTTTATAGATCACGGTTATGATATTGTTTGCCTGTTTCGAGTTATTATTGAATCAGGGAAAGTACAGTAAACACATGTATTTAATTATATCATTATATTATTAGTAGCAGGGAACAATGTACAGAGATGCGAGGTAGTGCGGCGATAGTGTAAAACTTGACCAAAAATTCTATTTGATTCTTGGAGTATAGAGTTGAAGTTATGATATATTCTAGTAATATGAAAATCACACAATTTGTTTTTCGTCGTATTAGGTGTATAAAACTATCAATCGGCTATATTATTATGTCCTCTTGGTGTATTCTCTATGAAGAGATGTAATTGTCTTAAATTTGATGTCGAAAAGCTTCTTGGGCTTAGATTTTAAAGCTTTAATAAAGTATTGATTCACTGACAGGTTGAAGCACAATGTTACTGCTATTAACAGTGCTGAGAAATTTAAGAAATAGATGAAACTGATTGCTATGGAAAATCTACAGTATAGAAATGCAAGATAAATTAAAAGATACTGGATAAGGACCGTAAATAATAAAATTCAGTCAACGGCTGAAGATTAAGTCGCAAAAGTATCGGTATCAATTCTAAGATCTAGTACAATAATTAAACAATTGATGCCGGACTTAATTACGTTACGACGTAAATTAATTATTATTAGTATTTATTTTATGAAGGGTATTGGATCTTTTCATTACTTTTAAAAAAAAGCACGAATCTATCTAGAGATTACCTACTGCTTTCTTTATTCAGCGTACCAATAAAATATATGTAGGTTCTCTATCTACAAACTTTGCATTCCTAAACGATGATGATAAGGTCTGAACATTGCGATACACACAGAGAGCAATAAATATGAGGTCATATTATTACATGCCATCTACTTGCCATTTACAATAATACTGTCGTCATTACTAATTACTGTATAACAACAAGATCTACCCTTGCGTCTGGTTTATAACTTGCCTAATAAAATCGGATTACTTTATCCAGATTAATATTTAATCATTTTTTCTAGTTAGAATTAGTGACAATAAATTGATTTATAGAATAAAGCACAATTATAATTCAATGGTTTAAATAGCAATTGTTTATTAATTATTAGGCAATTGATGGTAAACCTACACTATGGGACATATACAACCTAAATATTGGTAAAGTTATACTTTTAATGACGTACTTTAAAATATTTCTTACTTACTTTAACTAAATAAGCGTAGCTTTATTGTGACATTATATAGCTAAAAACATATACGCGTATGTATGCTAAGAATAGATAATTTAATTAACAGATTCTTATTCCTTATTCTTGGATGCAGAATATTGAAACAAATAATTTTACGTTATGAAAAGTTTATTAGTAAGGCACAGTACGAGAAGGTAGTATCAGTATTAGCTGAGATATGTTAAGCGGTTAAATCGCAGGCGCATCAAACTATTACTAGGGCAGACAATAGTGAAAAACCTCAAAACTACTATTATTTTATGTAGAATATTAATGAATTTACTTTAAAATGATATAGTAACTAAAATTTAAAATTATGGCTAAAATTACAACTTTGAGAATAGAATTCATTTTTAAGCTATTCTGTGTCTTTTCATCTAAAACAGATAAATGTCACATCTGACGTCTGAAAAGGCGATAAAGTTATCTTAGAGGTGTTTTTGTCCCAATTTCTAGCATGAGATATTTGGAATGAGATTAAGATTATAATCAATGACTTTGACGTCATCGATTATATTAAATTCAAGATTTATTAGCTATTCGTCAGAATGACAAGTGTTCAGCTCGGAAGATATCCTTAAAAATATCTTCATGATATCAAAGTATTGATATTATTTTATTTCAAAGCAGTCGCTTATTTTATGACATCAGTAATTTTATCATTCACTCTTTGCATTGTTAACATGTATAATCAATATTCATTAGAGTAGATTAAAGCCAAACACGTGGACTTTTCAACTATGATTCAGAAACAAGTAGATTTTATGTTTAAAACTTATTCCCGTACAGGATGTTTACAAAGGTAGATAATTATAAAAAGTTGATGTAGAATGTAAATAATTTTAAATTAATTTTGATGATGCTACACTTATCACGAATACTGTATCTCATATTGCTGCTGCTCACTGAGCTATAAACCTTAATCCTTTAGATATCGCAAAACTGTAATAACTATTAATTGTTAGAATTTTTAACTCATTGCAAGGGTATTATAAATGTATACACCGGTAGCATTATTTTAAAATGGATATCCTAAAATTCTGATTAAAATAGATCTGCAAATGAATTTTGATGATATATTGAAAATTACCATACCTTTCAGCGGTAATGACCACAAAGAAACTTCCCTTTTTAGGGTATTAGGCGGTCATTGCGCCAATAATGAATGCTCCTCTTTCTCTCTAAATATCTTATGAATGACTAGAGCATATGATGCAACTCTTGAAACTTGCCCATGAATTTTTATCCATTTGTAGTAAAAGGACTAAAAGTAGAGTCCTTTGTAGTTTTTAGTATGTAATTAGTATTATTTTACTATACAAAATACCTAGAAAGTGATAGTGTCTTTAAGTTTTACCCTGCCAAATCATCATGTCGCCATCTTTTCTTCTTCATTATTTTACAAGGTATTATATAGATTACTATACAAGTAGCCCTATAGAGCAAATGCCTAATCTAAAGAAAGGGCGTTTGATCGTCTATTCAAATTGTAAAGAAATTTGACTTAGTAGCAAAACCCTATCCTTAGAGAAAGGGGATTTATAACATGACGATAAAGTACTGTAAGGTAGTCTATACTCGTACAGTTACAGTACAATCTGACGCTAAAACATCAACTGTCAATACTCGCGAATACTAAGCGGTACTAATGTCAGAAAAGTAGTCGTAGTAGTCATATAAATTTTTTTGATAAGCGATTACTGTGATCTTCATAAAAAGCGAATTTTTCCGGATTTGTGTCCGATATAGTTTTCGGATTCTGGGACCGGTCGGGTTTGTGTCCGATATAATTTTCCTGTTTTGGAACCGGTCGGGTTTATTTTTAATTTATGTCTGAATTATAATTTTTCTGTTTTAATTTTTGGATTTTTGTTCATGAAAAATATCGTAAGAGTTGATTTTTGAGGTTTGGACTTTTTGTTATGAATTTGAAACTTTGGAATTTTATGACGTGACTTGAAGTCACATTAGGAGATTTAGTGAGGAAAATAGAAAATAAGATGGAAATTGGCAGAGGTTGTGTTGATTGTTAGGTAGTTAGAATGTTGTTTTTATGACTAAATCTTGATGTTTAAAGGTTGATTTTTAGCTTTTTATAGTGTATTAATGATAGAAATTATGTTAGAAATGAAGTTTGATGTATTTTTATAGTTAGCTTATTACTTTTATAGTGTTTTGTAAGGGAATCGTAGGGTAAATTGTGTCTGAACTTTGAATGATTTTTGTTTTCTTAAATGGTGCAAAGTAGTTTTGTAAAACGGATCTTAAGAGCGATTGGTTAGCAAATGTTTAGTTTTAAATACCTCTGACGGCTCTACGAAGCCTATAAATGATAGTGCAATTAGAAAATTTAGGGGGAGAGTAGAAGAAGATTTTATTTGAAGAACTTGTTGAATTTAAAAGGCCTTCGGGGTCGAATTGTCGTAAGTTAAAACGTTCTTCTTTTTGAAAGATTGTTTGGTCGTTGACAGTTTTTAAGTCTGTCATTTATTTTAATAATACTTAAAGCTAAGTATTTGTAAGGTTGTTCGGTTTATACTTCTCTCCATTTTTGTTTTGAAATAAATTGTTGTTCGGTTATTTCCCCAAATTTTATTTGGTGTCAAAGTATTAGCGTTAAGTCGACCGGAGTGCAACGAAAGTAGAATCAAAGTTTGTTAAAGTTTCGTAGCTTGATCTCTACACATTTCATTTCATTACACATTGAACGGATTCTTGGATAACTATCTATTATTTATTTAGTTATCTGTGCTACTTACCCCTTATCTATTACCGGTACCGATTCCTAGTTGGAATATTTAATATGGCTTTAACGTGCTTTGTTATAGGATAATCACAATTTTGGCACATAAAATTATTTGGATCAAATAGGTCTTTGGCAAACGATTTAATTTTTAATATTTAAGATTTGATTGGCGCGTAGTAGAACGTATTTCAGCTAAAATGTTTAGGTATAATAGATCCTTAGTGTCTTATTTAGCCTTATGG